GTGTGTGTGTGTGTGTGTGTGAGAGTGAGTGTGTATGTGTCTCTGTGTGTGTGAGTGAGAGTGTGTGTGTGTGTGTGTGTGTGTGAGAGTGTGTGTGTATGTGTCTCTGTGTGTGTGTGTGTGTAAGAATCTCCGGCTGAACTGAACCCAATGTCACAGATCCGCCTTATGAAGGGCGAAGAAAGCAGCTGATCTGCTGCTCAACACACCCCCTCATTCACACACACACACACACACACACCACTGTACATACCAGTACACTGCAGAGGAGTCTCTGCATAAAGTTGTAGACCTCATTGTAAGTACTTCTGTGTATATTATATAGACTATTATATACTAAATAATAATAAATAAAATATTGCATTTATTTTAAAAGGCCAATAAATAAATAAATAAATAATGTAAAAAAATCTGATGAATGTGGCGCCATCTATCGACACGTGAAAGACACTGAAAATTGTGTTTGTTGAAAAATTGAACACTAGAGGACACAGGAGTCCATCACATCACAGTCTCAAACTCTGTCAAAACATTTATTATTTTAATGTATTCTTCTTTGACGTCTTTTATCTGCTTTTTTACATATGTACATTTTTTGGTTTATTCTGGTGGTTGTGTCTTACGTTGTCTTGTGTTGTACAAGTTGCAATAAATAAATTAAAAAAAAATCTTCAGTAATCTGTGGCTGTGTTAATAAAATAAAATAAGTACTTTTCTAAAATAATAATAAATAATTAAATACATACATAAATTAAGAATAAAGCTACAAATTCGATAAATCATCACCGCTATAATCAAATAAATAAAATAAAAATAAATGGCAGATAACTTCTAAAAACGTCGTATATACATAATAATAATGTATTATTATTATTATTGTTAGCTATTATACATATATGAACAAAACCTAACTATGGTTATGCTTTGGATAACGAAGACACAAGCAACAATGCGCCATTTATTTACTATAAATCTAATTTAATTCCAATTTCATTTCTTTTCTTTTTTTAAAGTGCACGCTTTCTATGGTGTGGTCGGACGCGAGCGTCGCTTGGCGTGCACGCTCGCGCCTGTGCTTTGTGGACGCGCGCTCGGAAGACGCGCTGCGTCATTTCCTCTTTCCACAGACAGGAGGGTGGGGACAAACAGCTGGTAAGTGATGCCGTGATCCGACCGCCGATCGGGCTGTTTTTCACACCAATAAACGCCTTTCCCGGAGCCACTACAGGTAGGACTCGAGTCCGTTACTGCCCGCCGCCCCGGAGCGGCCGCCAGCGGGTGTGTTTTGACGTGTTTGAGGTGTTTTTTCAATTCGTGTCAACGAGAGGTGCTAACGGCTAACTGAGATTAGCTCCATAAACACTGATGGTTTTGTATAATCGTTTGAAACGTGATTTCGGTGCCGTTAAAGCAGTGAAATGATGGCAGCCTGACACTAAAGTGGTGTTTCGGCGGCATTAGGTTTGTGAAGGGGTTTTGGTTCATCTGAATCAGCTTTGAACCGTTAAACCTCATCAAATCTGCTGCAGTCTGACTGTCTGATCTTAGTTACTTTAATTAACGGCGTAATTAACTGGCCCTAAATTACACTGAGGCTGGGGACCCGTCAACGCCCTGAAAAAGCAGTGATTGGCTTCACTGCAGCCCTTTAACACCCTAATGACAGCCGACGGGTGTCATACACACCCAAACCCCTGTCGGGTGTCATTTGGGATGTTTCAGTGTTTTTCTGGGTGTCGAAGTGTGGGACACTTCTAGATGTGAGCTGAAATGGACCGTCTTGCATGTCAGAACAATGCAAAATGTAATCAGTCATCGTAATCGGGCTCTAGTGGTAGTTTATCACCGGGTAACCGGTCCTAACTGTTAGTTTTGGTGGGGCTTGGGTCTGTTTTCGCTGGAATGAGTGTTCAGGAGATCACAGACTGGTTTATTTCGATGAATGTTGTGTCCGGAGGATCCAGATTCCTGTAGTGGTTCTAGTGGCTGTAGCTCAGAATATTTCAGGATATTTATACTCTTCTGCACACCAGTGTAACCCAGTATGTAGCTTAAATTACACTGTGCAGTCTGTGAAGTTAAATGTATTTGTCGCCCCGTAAATGCAAAGGTTTACTGGAACATTTCGGCTGTATTTTCATTGGATTTGATCTGGTTGTTTTTGGGGTTCTTTAGCAGTTGGTGTTGTTTCAGGGCCCAGATTTGGTTAATATTGAAATTTAACAACTTTTTTACATTTATTAATCCAGTAATGCATCACATAATGTATATTGCAATAGCAGATTTTAACTGCTTGATTTTTAAAAAAATTTGTCACAAAATGTAACTATATTATCGTCCAGCTTTTTAGTTGGATATACAAGTATGTCCAACTTTGTCTGCATGCACACGGTATACTTGTGTAGGTAGACATATATACAGCAAATCTCAACTGCTAATATGTTAAATATGACTATAAGGCATGAAGATATTATAAACATTAACATAATGATTTTCTGTAAAGCTGCTTTAAAACAATGTGTATTGTTAAAAGCTTTATACATATAAATTTAACTTGACTTGGTCTGTGCAAAGTAATGCAAGTGAATGTCTGGTTTCTTTTACTGTGTGTATTGTTGTTTATGGTTTTTAAAGGGTGTCATACACACCCAAGATGTAGATGAGTTTGTTTCTTCATCAGATTTGGAGAAATTCAGCATTCTGTTTTCCCCATTCAAAACTATACGAGTGACACGTCTTGGGTATTCTGTAGTCTTTGCAATAATCCACAAGTAATCCACACCACTCCAATCCATCAGTTAATGTCTTGTGAAGACAAAAGCTGCGTGTTTGTAAGAAACAAATCCATCATTAAGGCGTTTTAACTTTAAACCGTTGCTTCCGGCCAAAATACAAGCTCAACATCCATTGACATATTTGTTTAGAGCTGTTTTGGCTTGTAAACAGTGTTTGATCTGTGCAGATTTTTCTCCTGATTCAGACCAGACCGTTTTTTCACTTGAGAAAGCAATATTATGGACAGAGAATCTGTATTTTAGCCGGAAACAACAGTTTGAAGTTAAAGCGTCTTAATGATGGATTTGTTTCAGCTTTTGTCTTCTCCAGATGTTAACTGATGGACTGTAGTGCTGTGGATTACTTGTGGATTATTGTGATGTTTTTATCAGCTGTTTGGACTCTCATTCTGACGGCACCCATTCACTGCAGAGCATCCATTGGTGAAAAAGCGACAGAATGCTAAATTTCAGTAGATTTTCAGCATATTTTCATTTTTGCGTGAACTGTTCCTTTAAAGATGAGGGCATGTCATGCAACCAGTCAGTGTTGACTTCTGATTTGACTAGCTTCTACCAAGTGACAGATGAGTGTTTATTTGATGTACATTTGACATCAACAACTAAAGATATGTAAAGCATTTCTCCTCTTTTTTAAAAGCTGATAAACTTGTATTTTGCACAAGCCACATTGTTATTTCCGTTTAGTACTGTTTTTTCCTGCTCTCCGTGACCTATCAGAACAAACATGTTACCCACCATTGACGTATAATATTCCTATAGTGTGCAAGCTTAAAAAACAGCATTTTAACACTGTGTGATTGCGATGCTAATTGTTAGTTTCCACATTCTTCACCCTGGATTCCGCAGAAGCCTGTGATTAGTTTGTTAGATGTCTGTGAGTAAGTCAATTACGCTCTATTCTGTGTGAACCTCATTGTGTTTTGCAACCAGGATTTTCGTTAAACCCTCTTTTGAAAAGTGCTGCGAGCAGACGGCTGGCCCCTCTGAGCTATTGTAGCCCGACTCTAGAATGAGACTCGCTGGCAATGGCTTCTCTGAGTTCATGTGGAATGTATTTCCTGTTTGGGTCCCTTCAGTTTGGGAATGAAAGAAAAAGCATGACTCGCTGCTTAATGGATGCTGCAGCAGTGCTAGTTATTTGAAGTTGTTTTCTCATGATCGCCCGGAACATTTCGTGGTTTTTTTTCTGACCTGTTGACAATGCAGGAATATTTTTATAGGCTGGGAGATTTTTCACTGTGTGTGAAATGGATTTGACCTCTTTATGCATTTGGGAGGCTGGAAAGGAAATCTTTTTGTGTTTGTCTGTTATCTAAATGAAATGAAATAATTGAGTCAAACCTGTGAGAATGATGGTTCGAGCATTTGAATTGTTTTGCATTTGTTCACAAAGTTCTTAAAAAATGTCTTAAGAAGTCTTAAAGGGGTCATATGATGCAATTTAAATTTTGGCACCTACTAGGAAGAAGAGCAATAAGACGGCATTATAAAATGAAAAAGTGCGCTTTTTTATTTTTAATGGCGAAGACGTGCTCACCCACAGACATTCACTTGTTTTGGCGCAGATCCGAGCGCGATTGCAGTGTTCACATATGCCCAAACGAACCGAGCTAAGGGGGGAAATGCGCCAGGTTCCGAAACAACGGGCCAGGTGTGAAAGCACCCTTAATGTTTGTCTTGTAGCTCCGGCCGGACAGGGCATCACAATATGGTAAGGGGGGTAACATTTCCGTCACACGCTTGAGGTATTCGGCCAATCACAACGCACTGGATAGCTGGCCAATCAGAGCACACCTCGCTTTTCAGACCGATGAGCTTTGTAAAAATCGACGCGTTTCAGAAAGGCGGGGCATAGAGGAGAAACAATAATGTACAGTAT